GTAAGGTCAATGAAACTCTAGACCTAGAAAACCTAGAACTACGCCGCCTCCGGTCCGATCTAAATATAGTATATAAAATCATACATTGCAATATCCCACCTGCAAATGAATACTTCAGCTTTAATTATAACAATACAAGAGCACACAATAGATACAAACTCAAGGTTAACCGCACCAAACTTGACTGCAGAAAATACCCTTCCGGTTTGCAAGGCTTCGGCAGCGGCAGGGATTCGCAACTCCGCACGATCCCTGCTGCGCTTGCTGCCGAGGTTCCTCCGATCCGTTTGGATTTGGAGGATATAGCTGCCCTGTAGAGGCAGCTGAAGATAGGGGGGATCCGGACAGGGGTTTGGGGGTGTCGCAGACCCCCTCCCCAGCCGGCAAACCCCCCTTTTCCCAAGTCGGTGGAGCGGCGGTCAGTAATGGCTGCCACAAAGAAGCCTGCAGCTGGACAAGATCGCGCAGGAGGAAGAAGGTGAAAGTTTTTTTTCTGGCTGAACCGGGACAAAGAGGAGCCTTTAAAACCTGGAAATTTGCCTTTTCTAATTGCTACATTGTTTCCCAGAAAGACTGTGCAAGCGGCAAGAAAGTTGTGAAAGGGAAAGTTATTTCTTCTCACTCTCCTTCCCTACGGAATAGCAGATGGAAATCTGGAAAACCTGCTTGGGCAAAGAAGGTAAATAAACTTAAAAATTAAAGGCAAGGGGATAAAAGATTTTGGAACATTGAAACTAAAAACTAAAAGTTTATTGCTATAAGTGGGAAGGAAGAGGTAAAAAATTTATTCTAAGACTCTATTGAAGAAGACTGCTTGAAGTTTTTAAGACTAGAAATTAATGACAATAAGGCTTCTAAAAAATCATTTTGAAACTGTCTAATTGAATCTCACCCCAGGAGGAGGGGAGGAGGAGGAGGAGGAGGAGGAGGAGGAGGAGGAGGAGGAGGAGGAGGAGGAGGAGAAGAAGAAGAAGAAGAAGAAGAAGAAGAAGAAGAAGAGGAGGAGGAGGAGGAGGAGGAGGAGGAGGAGGAGGAGGAAAGTGTTAACGGAACAGTTTGTTCTGATTTGGATTGCTTTGTGACTTTCTGACTTTGGGATTTTGGGGGGACTATTCCTTGAAGGACTAAAAACATTTGGGTTGCTCCTTTAAAAATAAAATAATAATAATAAAAAATGGCATTATCTGTGCAAGAATTACAAAAACTACAACAAGAGAAACAAGAAGGTAAGGGCTCTCTTGGATCTACCTTTCGTTTTTTGGAAATGGCGATTTTTACATACCAAGAAATACAAGAACAAGAGGACCGGGATGAAGGAGAAGCCATCTTTAATGGACAAAAAATCATAGCCCAAAAGAACAAGGGGGGGAAGAAAAGGGAGAATTTAGAACTTAAAAAAGCA